CGTATTTATACTAGCTGGGGGTGGTGGGGTGTCTACGGGAATATTTTAANTTGTATGTAGGTTCGTTTTATGTTGTAGATGTGCAATAAGAAAGGATTTTCAAATATTCCTACTGGGACGCCAGCGGCGGGGGAAAAAGAGCGTTCCTAAAATAAAGTTACTTGTCATCACTGTTTCTCCATGCCCTTTCCGGTGGGTGAATTCATATTTAGTATCAGCATAACACCCGTGCGCCGGGTTGGTGTGCTAGTATTGAATATTGATAATAAATTAGTTTTGAACTTCATTAATGTAATAAGTACATATAATGGTTTGAGCGCAAAGTCAAAAAGGTCATTCTTCAATTTTTTGTGGCTTTTTTACCCCGTTCAAATAAAATACATGTAAAATATAAACAAATAAAAAATATTAAACTTACGAATTGAACCATCGAAAGCATGGTTTGGGATATGTTAAAAAAGGGTTTGATTAAACAATAATTAATGTTGAAAGTTTGGTAACCTAATTTACGAACTATCAAATTGGTAACTATAACAATAAACAATTTGTGTACACTAACCTTTTAGAATTGGAAAGTATCAAATATAGTCATCAAAATCATCATGATACATACATGATACATATAGATGCTCTGGGTATTCAGAAAACTATAATTGATAAAGTTAGTATTCAAATTGGTCTAAGTTACCCCCAGTAGCCTAATCCCTTTCTATGATACTCAATCTAGTAGCTCCAAGATAGCTCCAAAGCTCGATTCGTTCTATTTTTCAGTTCAGTGTCATTTTCTAATATCGTTTTTACAATTTTGGGTTATCATCGACCAGAATATCGGTGAATAAACAATACCAAAACTAAGAAAATATCCGTCTTGGATTTGTGATACTATAAAGAGAAAATTATCAAATTGTAAATCTCTCGATTAAAATCAGGAGAAAACCACCCACTACACTATACTACATGACATCAGAACATCATTAATTTTTCATTCTAACCTCGTACAACGACACAATTTGTGGACGAAAATAATAAGTAGTTTGATCATTTGCAACGATAGTACCTCATGAATATATCGATCGCGATGAGTCAATATCGGGTTCAAGTGCTTGCTATTGGATTCTTGATCTATGCTCTCATATTTTTTACAACTGCCGGACCCGATGAAAGTTTCGTTTGTACGAAGTCGTCGTGTCAGAAATAAAATAGCTCCTGATAATGGCATCAATGACATCCGGATGGACGATGAACGTTTTGAATTATTCGCTATGACCATGAATGTTCCCGGTAGGTTGGTTATCTATTTTTTTCATAAGCTATTACTATGGATCATTATTTTGTACATACCGAACAAAAATTGAATGTAATAACGTGATCTGTTAATAAACTGACAATGCACAAATAGCACAAATGACCTGACTGGTTTAAATTAATCAATAACTTTTTCACGTGAATCGGTTGTAGTAGTTAATTGTAAGGTGAATGTACGAGACGATAAAATTCTCCCTTTAACTTCCCTGAAGTGACAGCTTTCCTTTTTAAAGTCAAAGTCAAAATATGCTTTATTGTCTGAAGATTAACATTTTATTAACAAAGCTTTGTTAAAATAATTCGAGAAACAAATTCACACATAGTAGCTATCCCTACTTGTCAAGTTATAATTGTTCGAGTAATGTTCTCGAAAACTATACACTATAAAATAATATACATTGGCAGGTAGTTGTTGAATAAAATTACAGGTAGTTATTGGACATATGTACAAAGAACAAAAAAATAACAAAAACAATTAGTATTTACATAGCACAATACATCACTTGCACGAATATAGCCAATAAGAGTTTATTTGGAAAGTTTTCNATAAGAGAGGAATAACAATAGACGTTTTGAGAAAATTTGGAAAAACTCCTTCTTTATATGAGATATTTATTATGTCAACTAGTACTGATAAAGCATTGTCTGGTAGATTTTCGAAAATATTCAAGGAGATGTCGTCAATTCCTGAAGTGTGTTTATTTTTTATCTCCCTAAAGACTCCTTTCAATTCTGAGACGTTTGTGTCATATAGAATAAAATTATCTGCTATATCAATATCAATTAAATTATCAAGTGGATCATACGGAATGTGAATATTTTCAGTGAATTTTTCTCCTATCGTGCAAAAATAGTGATTGAAATCGGTGGATGATAATGGAGTGTCCAATTTTTGCTTTCTACCCTTTCCTCTGATATCACTAATTATCTTCCATGTTTCTCTTAACTTATTGCTTGCTTTGTTTATTCTGTTAGTATAATAAAGAGTTTTAGCTAGTTTTATGGTGTTTCAAATGGAACAGATGGAAGAGTCGGACGCATCAAATGACCCAATGCAGTTTTTTGACGCAGTGTTGTCTGTTTTACATACAATGAAAAACAATAATTTATCGATTTATAACTGTGTTACAGTATAACTTTTTCAATCAAAATAAGGTCTGTCGGTGACCAGGCGGTTCGACGCGGGTGCTTTGTTCACTCACTCGAATTGACTGCCGTGTTGGTCGGTGGTTCAAGCCCTAGTCTGAACGATCGATCTTCACTTGCTACCGTCCAACCCGTGTTAGGAATCACACGTTAAAAGGTAAGATCTCGTTAATCTTTGGCTCGCACAAGTTTTGACTTCTGATGGTTGTCGTTCATAGGGGTGCGACAGCTGGTTAACAAAAAAACAGATTTAAAACAGGATTTTTTTAAGTAAGTAAGTAGTAGCTTGTTGAAGGTTGGTTTTTATTCTTCAAACGCCAAAATTTGAAGTTTCAACGTGAAGTAACCCATAAACAAAGCATTTTTCTGACAAAACGTATGACATTTTTTTTGAAGTGCTAGGAATTTTTTTTTTCATATGCTTGTAATGTGTTCTATAAGTTTGACCGGTTTCAAGTGCTTAAAAAAAACTGATCTTCCTTTTGAAGATGATTACTTGGTGATCGAAACACGTGTCGAGGTATTAAAATAACGGTTTGGTGTTGGTAAAAAACTCCAGTAATAGTCATTACTACACCAAAGGTTCCAAACAGTGCATTACAAGTATTATTAATGAATTGAAGGGGTTATATTTTTAGGAGTGAATAATTTTTGGGAAAGAAAGTTTTAGGCTTTCTACTACTCCATCTGGATACAAAAAAATGTGGGAATCTTCCAAAGAAAGGAAGAAATTAATCAATTTGAAAAGGATTAACTCTAGTGTAGATCATGCAAAGAAGTAACTTTCAGACACAAACTGAAAGAAAGGAAGAAAGCCCTCCTGAAACAGCTACTTTCATATAAACATTGAATTACTCGAAAGAAAAAAATTCTTTAGAAACAAATACTTTTATATGACCACTGAATTATACAGAAGATACTCTTCTCTACTCAGTTTGTATTCCAAACATTGTTATGGAATAAAATCAGATATCATTCACAGGAGTTCTACTTTAAATGAATGGTAACAAATTGCACTTACATGGAACATTGTCATCCTCACTGGTAGACATCGATGTTTCGCCGTAAGAAACTTGCTTTAAGGCTCTTCAGTACCAAATTGGATAACATTATAGAAAATACACACAATTCAATAATGAATTACGATTTTTTAATGTCACGGAATAAGTTTGATCTACTTATGTCATCGATGACATCGTAATGACATTCATTCACCTATATTATTAATGGTTTTCAATTTATCTCGAAGAAATGAAAAATTTTTAGCGAATTGCAGAAATTCTTTTTTGGCGTGAAACCCAAGTTTTTTTCAAAGCTAAGCACTTCAAACCGCTCATATTTCAAGAAAATATTACAAGTAAATATATAAAGTAAATTGGAAAGTGGCATCGGTTAGTTTTAATTGGGGTGGTAATTAGAGAGTGAAAATCTCTCAAAAACTAATTTTTTCATTACTTTACGTTGAAACTTTCAATTTTGCGTTTGAAAAATGAGAACAAATCTTCGAAAAGCTATTATTTCATTCATATAGCTGATACTCCATTAACCGACGAGTTTTTTATTGCTTTTTCTCAAGCTACTGACACTGTTCTTATCAAATAACTACTTTTTGAGTTATTTGCGAAAAATCGCCTGAAGTCGTGAGTTTTTTGTTTGAAAAATTCACACTTTCACTCAGGAATGACCTGAAAAAAATTGAATTTCTGGAAAAAACTTCATAAAACTAAAGTTGCTTAGAATTAATCAATCTATCCATTCTTGGACTCATTTATATTGAAACATTTTTCACCCCCGAGAAAGGGTAGTATCCACATTTTCATGAATCCATGTACTGTTTGGCAAGATTATATGAAAAAAAAGTTCATTGACTAGACTGCATGAAGTATATCGCTCGAACAAATCTCTACCTTCTCTCATTGGTCGTGACATATCAATCAATAATAATTGATATTCCACCATCATTAGAAAATCAATCAATAAATAATTTAAATGCGAGCTCAATACACAGAGAAATGCACACTTCAATTATGAAATATAAAAATATAATTAACTTACTGATTGATGACTTGATAGTATATCGTAGTGTGATTTTGCTTTCTTCGCAAGAGACTCCACACTTTCACCTTCTAAATAATCAGTCTCAGACATATTTCATCTATTATTATTTTTTTCGAATCAGTCATTCAGTAAAACACAGGTTATTTATATTGTAGCAAACACAACTGTATACACTATAGATATCCAAGCTCAATGTGGCAAGAGAAATAGCGTAACGCCGAACCAGTGAAAAGAGATTCGCACAGTCGCTTGCGCATGGCAACCCGTCGCCACGACATGCGTCGCCATGCCAGTAATCGGTTTTACGTGCGGCTATAGATGTTTCACATCAAAAAACCTCTAGATCAATAGAATTATATTTTTATAAGACATGTAATAGAATCGGCAGTTACTTGATGAAAATCTATAACGTATTCAATAAATACTTCATTGTGAGATTTTCACTAAACTAAATTCTATTTTTCCCAGTATTGTAGAAAATCTTTTTCCAGGCTCGATCCCTCCTAAAATGCGAACAGGCAATGGGGACACCTGCGTGGACATTGATCACATGACCCTCGACCACAACCTCAAGAACAAAAAAACAGACGCGGCCGTCCAAACGACTCACCTCGTGCCCTATAGACTGAGATTCCTGCCCGGTACAGACTGCGATGTCAAGTTGAGCCCTTCCGAAACCAGTTGCTCCCTCAAGTTAAAGTGTTGCTGCAGGATCCTCAGCCGATGGATTTTGTCTCAAGTGGGACTGAGCATAGTCGTGGTGATTTGGGCACTACTTGGTGCTTTGGCGTTCTTCAGGACTGAGGGTATGATATTTTGAACGAACGTGGTTTTTCGTGGTCATGAACGAACTTCAAATATATTATTCTTTCAATCTAACAGATCTTGAGTCATCGGTAGAGCTTATCAATGATTATCTCAATTTGTTGTATAAAATTTCAACTGATCATGCTCTGAGGATAGATCTATAAAGTTAGTATATTTGATGTTTAGTAATACAAATTCATAAAACTTTTTGAAAAATCAAAAAATTCAATAATTGGTGATACAAAATAGCTACAGAATCATTTCATGAAAGTTTAGGATTGATAATCATTACATCTCTACGTTTCAGAAAACATATCTTTTCTTCTCTGAAAGTAATACAGGGCTTTTCATGATGAGCGTTAATTAGCCGTTTCTGACAAACTATTTGACGGATCAACGGAGCGACGTTGTCGCTTCTACTATAAAGTAGCGGCTTCTTTGATTTTTCAAATGGAACACCCCGTATATAATATAATATTATGATTCATTATCACTTTGTCAACAAATTCATATACTATTTCCCTATACCTATCTATTACCGTTTAGAAGATATAAAT